GACAGGCTCCTGTAACATTCAGGTAGACTAACTGGTGAAGTCAAGGTGCCCACTGTAAGTAGAAGTTTATAATTCAAAATTAAACTGGGCAGTTAACTTTTGACTATATTAATGCTCAGTGATCTCCAATACTGTGTTGTTTAGGTAGTTCCTTTGACATTAAGCAAGAAATTATCCATATTAAAATGGCTTGTCACAAAGCAGAGCTATTTCTAGTGCTTAAAATATCCTCCTGTGATAGTTTGGGGTTTTTTTTTCACATGTATGAGTGAGGGATGTAGAAACTAACCTTGGCCTTGTGGCTGTAGTCCCTCAGGACTGTTACCAGTGCATTCCTCATCTCCAGATCAATGTTTGCCTGTAGATATACTCATTGCTCCAAAATCTGTGCTGAAACAGACCTCTGGAACCCTGATTTTTTTGAGGGGACAGGGAGGAGAGCATTTTGGTTTTGTTCTTAAAGAATGAGTGGAGCATTGTCTTAAAGGGTGGGTTAGAGGAGGAGGCAGCGACGTGGGTTGTCCCTACAGACACTGAACCGTGGGGACTACAAGGGCTGGTCATCCCCTGCACGACTGGTGCTTTGTGGATTTCTGGGACCCTCTTGCACCAGTACCAGGCGTGGAATGAGAAGTTTTCTTCCCTGGGAGGCGTTGGGCTGTGCCACTGGCCGGGCTGCAGCTGGAGCCTGCCCCTCTGCCCGTGGGCCTGGGCCCCGCAGCGAGCAGCCAGCGCTGGCAGCTGTTGGAGCTGTTGGAGGTGGCAGTTGCTGTGCCTGAAGATGTCTGTGTGGAGACCACCTGCTTGTTCTTCACCAGCCAGCAGCTGAATTTAGAGCATTTGTAGTTGCCTGGCTCACGTCGGTGCTAACCTCATCAGGTATTTCCTCAGTGACTGACTTGGATTTAATCTGGAGAAGGATTTTTTTCCCCCTCTGTGTTTGTAGCTCTCTTGTGTTCTTGCCTTTAAAAAAGACCCAAGGGTTATAAACTAAATCCAAGTGTTTTCATGTTGGTTTTCCTTTCCCTGTTATTTAGCGATCTGAGCTGAAACGTTCTTTGTTTGGGGGAAGGAAAGGGGTTTGTGTCAGGGTTCCAGCACAGCTGCAGTGTGGTTATTTGAGGTCAGTGACCACATCAGGCCCTGGGACTGTCAGGACAGTGCAGGACTGTCCCTGTGCCTGTGACAGGCTCCCCAGTGAGCTGTGACAGCCAGCCCTGTGGTGGAGCAGTGATGTCCTCTGCTAGTGGTTCCTGTCGTTCCTGAATGATCTGAGTTACACTGAAAGGCTTCTGAGCACACGTGTTTTCTGATGATGGGTGGGTTTGTATTTCTAATTAACATGGGAACGTTAGAAAGACCTTTGCTGTGTCAGTGGAGCTTTGGTATTTCAGTGCTCGAACAAAATCCTCTTATGCCAAAGCTGTGTCTGGAGCAGAGCATAATTTCTGTCTTCTTTAATTTGCTTTATTTGCTGCAGAATCACCTTCTGCTTCTGTCTGCAGTGGAGAGCTCGCAGAGATATTGTGACTTCAGTCCTCTGTGGGCCCCTCAAACCCACTGCCAGTCAATCAGGGAATCATCTTACTGATGTTGCTGCTCTAGAAATCCATTGGTGTTGCTGATTAGTGGGTGCAAGTGATTGAGAGGAGTCTTTTGTGTTTCCTTCTGATGTTTTTTTTCTCCCTTGTTGCTTAGGGGGAGCCTCAGGTAAGGTAATGATTTCCCTGTAAAAAATAACTGGCAAGGTGGTGGCAGTGCAGAGTAGAACTGGGGGTTCCTAATGTCCCCTTGCTCTGGTAGCTCCCTGCTGCCAGTGCCTCCTGGGTGAGCTGAAAATGGGACCTGCAAGTACAGGAATATGTGCCTGAAAAATGCCATGTCTAAGAATACACTTTCCCAGGCGTATTCTCATGTCAGTGCTTTCTTTTCCAAAGGAAAACATTTGAAAAAAAAAAAAAACAAAACAAATCCCCAAGAATAGCCCCTCTCCTGGGTGCAGCTTTGGGACTGAGGTTGCAGCCCTGGGTGCTCTGGGTTGGTTTCACAGCAGACACTGTTGATGTGGTGCCTCTCATGTAAGAGTGACAAAGAAACCCTCCTAGAAAACCCTGCATTTTGACTGTTTCCTTACTGATTCCCATGTTCTGGGTTTGTTGCTTTGTTTGTGTGAAGGATAAGTCCCTTCTCTGGTTACCTATTCATGAATTATCTTCCTGTGGCTTTTGGGGTACTCGTACTCGAAGTTGGGGGGACCTATGCTGAAGGCAGCTTTGTTGTAGGTGCCCTAAAGAAGCTGTGAGTTTACACAGACTGTATGAGTTGAGAGGTGGATTAGTGACATTCCAAGGGTTTGGGTTGGTGATTGGATTGCTTTTGTTGTTTGTTGAAGTGATGGCCACAAGTACAGAATTGCTTTATGCTTTTATTCCACTCCTCGTGGGAGCCAGCAGTGCTTGCTGGCTTGGTTCATTTTATGCTTTATTCATTTGAAATACTGCATTTAACTTGCACCAAAAAGCTCTAAGACGTTTAACCTGTAGAAAAAAAAGCAGCTGTAGCAATACAGAGTTTTTTTCCCCATTAAATGATTTATAATGGTTATGAGATCTTTTCTGTATTCAGTGTTGCTGGAACAAGGAAGGTTCAGTAGCTTCAGAGGGGACATGCAAAAGCTTTTTAACTTTCCAAATCTTCCTGGTGTATACATCCTGTGAGAAACTACAGGTGTGGTACTGCAGTGTGCTTGGGTTTACTGGGGAAGAATGTCTGTCTGTTGTTCTAGATGTGATACATTGCTTTGTCAGTGTGTTTTAAAGTGCATGGCTTGTGGATGTCTTCAGCACAAAGCTGTCCTGGTAACAGAAATGGGATTATTTAATGTGAAGTCTGTCACTCAGTCTGCTGTGCTGTGTTAGTTTGGGTGCTCCAGTAGAAGAAAGACCTTGAGGGGCTGGAGCGTGGCCAGAGAAGGGCAACGGAGCTGCTGGGGAAGGGTCTAGAGCCCAAGTGTGGGGAGGAGCAGCTGAGGGAGCTGGGGGTGCTGAGCCTGGAGCAAAGGAGGCTCAGGGGAGACCTTCTGGCTCTGCACAGCTCCTGACAGGAGCCTGGAGCCAGGGGGGGGTCGGGCTCTGCTCCCAAGGAACCAGCAATAGCATGAGAGGCAATGGGCTGAAGTTTTGCCAGGGGAGGTTTTGGTTGGATATTAGGCAGAATTTCTCTCCTGGCAGAGTGGTGAGACATTGGCCCAGGCTGCCCAGGGAGGTGCTGGAGTCCCCAGCCCTGGAGGGGTTCAGAAAAGGTGTGGATGTGGCACCTGGGGACAAGGTTTATCGGTCATGGTAGTGCTGGGTTGATGGTTGGACTTGCTGATCTCAGAGGTCTTTGCCAACCTTTATGACCTGTCATTCTGTGGTTTTTGTTAGCATGCTTGTGCAGATCCTCATCTGTAGTTTAGCCAGTACCTGCTTTCCCTGCATCCCTTCATAGACGTTCTTTGACTGCCTTATAATTGGCATAACTTGGGGTTTTCTTCAGACTTGCCTGCAGTGCTGGTGCAGAGGCTGGAGGTGTGAAGTGATGGGAGCTCTCAGGCTGTGACAAGCACCTCTGTGCACACCCTGGGTGTGACAGACACTGACTTGTAAACTACCAAAAAACCCCAAGAAGATAAATATTTTCTTAGCAGATATAAAAAGCCACAACATTTTTGTCATCATCCTTCTTGGTCCAGCAGCCCTCAGGACACTGATAGAAGGGTGGTGGCAGATGTAGCAGTTGGGGCTGGAGCATTCCAGCTGCTAGCTGAGGGGAGCATCACTGTCTGGAGGCTTTAAAAACCTCAAAGGTCTGTATCTTTAGCTGGATTCTGCAGTAGCTGATGTGGATTGACAGGAGTTCTTGACAGGCTGCAATGGTCACAGCTGCCTGCCTTGCCTTCTCCTGCCCTCTGCCCCTTCTAGGCTCCTGTTTCTCAGTTAGATTGTTCACACGGGGCAGGCTGCCCGGGGAGGCTTCCAGGTTTCTGTGCCCTTTGAGCTGCAGGGATTTGGTTTCTCCAGTGTGTCCATCTGCCTCTTCATGAGCACAGGAGGAGCCTGGATCCAGAGGATCCAGCCGTGGCCAAGGCAGGGCCCTTCTCCTCTCTTGTGCTTTGGAAAGCTCTGCTAGATTTGGCTGCTGTTTAATGCCACCCTGTGGAACTCTTGAAGGTTCTGCCTCTGTTTTTTTTAAGGGGCTTTAGAAGAATCTGGTTTGAGGAAAGAGCAAATGTCTGGTGGCTTGTGGTGTTACCCAGGTGAAGGACTCTAGGGTGGCTGATATCACTGAATATTCTGCATGAACAAGTCATGTTTGTTCTGCAGGAGTCTCCTGGCATGGTGGGATCCCATCCTGTAAGTGAATATTGTAATGTGAGGAGTGGTGAAAGCTGAAAAGCCACAGGACTGGCTTCTATTCCATGCTGTTATTTCCCCTTTTCCATACATGCATTTTATTAGTAGTACAACCTTGGGAAGTCGTTGGGCTGTCACAAACCACTGCAGATGGACTTGTCTGGGCCTTTTTTTCTCTTTGTACACAACACACTGTCCCTTACTAACTGGCTGCTCCTAGGAGTGCTGCCTGGTGCCTGGTTACAGCAGGAGCTTGTGGAGTGGCTGTGTAAAGCTTTGTGTATGTGTGGGCCAGAATTAGCCTGTTCCTTTAATAGGAGCTACAGACCAGACTGAAGTAGTTAATCTCTGATCTGTCAGACTCTGCTGGCTGTGATGAACTGATGGTGAATCACAGACACGTGCTGTATTTGAAAACTAAAGTTTGAAAAATCCTGGTACTTGGTGCTCTTCCTTTACACGTGCCCACCCCCTCAGCCACACACTGATCCTTAAACCTCAGACCAGGCTCTACAACCCATAAAGTGGTCTGGAGAATTAGGAAACCAGCCTTTGTGCTTCATTATCCTCTATCCCAAGTAAGCACGTGTGGTTTTTGTCTTTCAGTATGTTCAAGCAGATGCTCCTACCAATAAAACACTGGCTGGGCTGGTGGTGCAGCTGCTGCAATTCCAGGAAGATGCCTTTGGAAAACACGTCACCAATCCTGCCTTCACAAAGCTCCCTGTGAGTACTGGGGCAAACGTGCTGCTATGAGAACAGCAGGTTTCGTTCTTCCTCCAGTGTCTGTGCTGCTGGTGTGGGTCCTGGTGGTGGGGAGAGGGGTGCTTCAGCTGAGGCTGTCCTCTGGAGGGGGTGGAATAGCACCCTCCTCCTCAAACACAGGTTTCCCCTGTGGGAGAGCCTGCATTTGGAAATGTTTCTCTGAGTGATGTAGAAGGGTTTTCATTTCTACAGAGGTTCTATGTAAACTTGTAAATTTAAAGTCAGTTCTGCTTGGCCAGATGCACCCTGAACTGACTGAACAACATGCACTTCCCAAAGCAACCAATTTCTAGTGGGTATTTCTACTGATGAAATATCAGACTTGTAATGCTGTCATTGCTGGAAAATGGCTTCACTGTGTTCTTCAGTAGCACGTAGATACCTGGTCAGCCTGGGATGGTCTTCCAGTGACTTGGGATATTGGTGTACAGAGACAACACCAGCGTGCTGGAGTGTGGCCAGAGAAGGGCAACGGAGCTGCTGGGGAAGGGTCTAGAGCCCAAGTGTGGGGAGGAGCAGCTGAGGGAGCTGGGGGTGCTGAGCCTGGAGCAAAGGAGGCTCAGGGGAGACCTTCTGGCTCTGCACAGCTCCTGACAGGAGCCTGGAGCCGGGGGGGGGTCGGGCTCTGCTCCCAAGGGACAAGGGACAGGACAAGAGGAAACAGCCTCAAGTTGCCCCAGGGGAGGTTTCAGTTGCCCCTGAGGAACAATTTCTTGCCCTGGAGGGTTGCCCAGGGCTGTGCCAGGCTGCCCAGGGCAGTGGTGGAGTCCCCACCCCTGGAGGGGTTTCCAGGCTGTGGAGATGTGATGTGAGGGGAATGGTTGGACTCCAGGAGCTTAAAGGTCTGTTCCAAGCAACAGACATCTGTCATTCTGTGATTTGAAGGGTTGCTTACAAAGCTCAATCTTGGCCCATCTGGAGCAGCAGTGCCCTGGTGACTGTGCAGGGATCAGCCCCGTGGTGCCTGGAGCCTCTCCTGCCACCAGAAGGACCTTGTCCAAGCGAGCATGAAGCCTGAGCAGCTGACAGGGGGATGAGGGATGCAGCAGAGAGTCAGGGCAAGTGACAGAGCTTTCAGCTGGGGGGGGTGAGGACTGCAGAGGTGTCAGGCACCCAGCTGGTTGGTGTAGGGCAGATTCTTGTGGGCCAACATGACTGTCATCAACGTAGGAGTTTATTTAGCTGTGTAGGGTAAGTTGGAGATAATTGTAACATTACAAGATCATAAACTGAAAACGATTGACAGTACTCCTATCTTCTTTGGTCCAACACTTAAATAGTGTATTTTATTGTTTTATGGTAATTTTTTCCCCAGTTGTTTTGCTTGTATGAGTGCTGTTGTGAGGAGTGTGGATTCATGCCTGTTTTTTTCAGAGGAGGGGTTTTCAGGCTGACTGAGTGAATCTCTTGGTGCTCAGGCATGTGTGCAGAAGCCACACAAGCTGCCAGGAAGGTGTAAGTCACCTTCTCTTCCATCTGCTCACCTGACACCTCGGTGGGAATGGAAAGCTCTGGGGATGGAGGTGAACATTGCAGTGCTTTATTTTCCCATGGCAGCGTAGACATAACACCGTGCCCAGACTCAGCAGGTTCATAAACCACTGGAGTGCTCCCAAGTCTTAAATCAATTTGTCTTATCTTAAAAATGGGTAATTAAGATTTCAGTGGCATTGTAAATCTGTTGTTTGTGAGTTTTATTCTTGCTGTTTCAAAGGTCTAATCTGATCCAATTTGCTCAGTTTAACTTTACAGCAGTTAGATCTCTGCCCTCAGTTACTTCCAACAGGAGACAACGCATCAGTGCCTCTGCCTTGGAGTTATTTTATGAGTGAATGAGATAGGTACTTTTAAAACAAGGTTAGTGGTCAGGTTTTCAGACGTGTAACTCGAGACACCAGGCTTTATTTTTTCTATCTTAGCCCTTTGAAGATGTGCAGAATGCTTTGGTTGTGCAGGACTGTCTGGCTTGGGAAGAGAGGTGAGGCAAAGGGATGTCTTCAGTGACATTGCTGATCTCCAAACATAGATTGGGAAGTTATTGCAAACTTCCAATGAGAAGAAACAGATTGAAGCTAAAAGTGTTTCCCTTATCTCAGATGAAGTGAGTCCATTAAGTTAGGATTTGTTGAGATTGAGAACTGCAGTTGCTGCAGGACATGGAGGTGGCTCACCAGGAGTGCTTGCTGTTGAGAATGTGTCCACCTGAGGTGGTTCTTCCAGCTCACACGACAGCCTTTGTATTTTACTGAGTACTGGCCCATGTACCTTCTCTCCTCCCATCATCCTCCTTCTCTGAAGTGTCTGCTCTGTGGTGCTGGAGCAGTTGGTGACAAAGGGAAGCTGGTCTCCTACACCAGTATTTGAGGTGAACCTCTCTGGCCTGGACAGCATCTGAATCACTACAGACAACATCTGTTGAAATAAAGATTAACCCTTTATCCTGACCAGAGATAGTAGTAGAACAGCAGAGATAATTCAAAACTAAAATTTGGCAGAGGAGACGTACCTTTCTGTGCAGGAAACAGTGCAGGTTTTTTAGTAACCTTTGGGAGAAAAGGCTTGGTGGGACTCTGCAGAGCTTTTCTGCCTCCTTGTGCCCCTGTTTGAATTTCAGTTCAGTACCTGTTTGTGAATGTGTGTCTCAGCTGCTCTCTGCTAAAAGCAGTGGTGAAGAGGAGAGTTGGGTTCAGTATTTTATGGCCAATCTGCACAGCAGTGTTTCCAGATCTTGACAAACAACCTTTTGTTGTGCTGGAGGAGGAACGTGGATGGAGTTCTTCAGGAGCCACCGTGAGCATGGAGCCTGGGTTGTAGATGTTCACTTCTAATGATTTGTTTTGGTCTACTTAATACAGATGAAGAGCTTCTTAACTGACAGCTGCAATTTCAGGTTTAATTTACTGTGAAACAGATGTTCAAAGAGTACTTTGGATTTCTATTTTACAGCTATGGAAGGAATTTTTAGCAAGCTCCTCATGTAAGATAGGACTTGGAGCTTGGGCTCTGCAAGCATGCAGAATTCTACCTGAACCAGATGCAGTTAATCTTCTCAAAATGTTTTTAAAGGAGAATGTAAAACTCCTCAAGTGATTAATCTGAAAATTAAACTATGCTTTTGATAAGTTAGATGTCTAAAACTCAGCTAGCCAGTATGTACTCCTTTAAAATGATTACATAAGAGTCAATGTCACTGTGTTTTCACTTCTCTTTTGGGTTCTAGGCAAAGTGCTTCATGGATTTCAAAGCTGGAGGTACATTATGTCACATTCTTGGTGCTGCTTACAAATATAAGAATGAACAGGGCTGGTAAGTTTTTCTTTTTGGTTTATACACCTTTTGCATGACATGAAGCACATGAAATGCCTTTGCAAACTACTTCAAGTTTAATACTTCCTGGAGAGTTGGATAGGCAAGGGAGTTGGAGATGGGAAGAGGAAATTTTTCCTTGTTTTGCTGATGGGAGCTTTTTTAAGACACGCCCACACACTTCTAAATTTAAAGATAAGTTGTCCAAGTTTAAGGTCTCAAGCCTGTAGGTTGGGAGTTAATTACAAGTTGAAGGCTTTTTTTTTTTCCCCATTTACTTGGCATATGACTGAGCAAATGAACTAGTATCTTAGAATCACTGTTTCCCATCTATAAGATGTAAATCTTTGTGACTGTAATGAGTATAAACTTTAGTTATCACTGGGAAAAGGTGAATAAATATATGAATACTAATAAATGCTCAGTTTTCTGCTGCTCCACAGATGGGGAGTGTGAGCAGTTAAAACCCTGCCCACGTAGCTACTGACACTGATATTAAAACCATTCATGTGGCATCCCAGGAGTGTTCTGACCTGTGTGTTTCTAAGTTGTAATCCTCTTTCCAAGACAGCAGTAGTGTGAGGTACTGTATTTGAGGACACTGGAAAAAAATCTGAGGATGAGAAGCTGAGAAATAAAAGTAAGCAGAGCTTGTCCTTGTGCATGAATTTCAACAGTTTCTGGTTGCTGTTGTGCAGACCTGTAGCAGCATTCCTGGAATTGACTGTTTGTTACCCACAGGAGCTAATTAGATGGCAAACCCAAAATTGTTTTCATATGACTGGTTGTTTCTAGCAGTCGTTTCTACTCAGCTAAATGGGTATCTGAGGTGGGTATATGGGAAAGCTGGAATGAGTAAGCTGCTGTCAGGGATTTTCCTACTCCAATATTGCCCACAGCCAGGACATGAAGTGTGGTGGTGGGGTTCTGTGTGGCCTGTCTGTCAGGAGTGTCTTGCTGCCTCTTTGCCTGAAGATAAAGGTGTTAAATGACTCCTACTTCACAAATATTTGAACATTCTGATTTTTTTCCAAACCAATTTAGTCCAATTTTCCAGTTGTTGAAACTCTCCAGCAGAACTCCCAGATGTGGTTGCCTCCTCTCTTCTCACTCCCTTGCTGATTCCTCAGACCTAGTGTGGGTAGTGCCTTGCCTTGGTGCATGTGGGGTGTAGAGGGAAGTAATCCTTGAATTTAACTCTGAGGATCAGACCTAGAGCCTGGAATGTGTCCTGCACTGACTCAACCAAATAATACGTGGTGTTTTGCCTGAAATATGATTGATTTGTTTTTTTTTCATGGTGTGCATTGTCGCTTTTGCTTAACCTGTTTGTGAATGATCTGTCTTATAGGAGAAGTTCCTTTCCTCGTCACACTAGGTATGTCTGAAAGAGGCACTTACCCAGTGCAGCTGGACATACCTTCTCTATCCCTGCAACCCACGTAGGCGTTTGCTAGAGCCTGTCAGAGGGTATCAGTTGAACTGAGCCCAGGAAGAATTGCTGCTACTGTTTTGTCTAAATGGGCCACTAAACAAAGGGCTATTCCTAAACAGATTGACACACGTCTCCAAAAGTGTGGGTTTCAAAGGCTGGCAGGAATTTGGGAACATCTGTAGTGCTAAATGAATAGTGTAGATTCTAAGCAATGAACTGTAAAAATTTTGGTCAAACTTCAATGCTCTAAGTGTCTGTTTTGTACTGAAGGCTTTACTAGATGTCTAGGCTGGTTTGTGTTTATTTGACATTTATCTTCCTTTGCTTCCTTGAAACTATTCCAGTTGAGAAGCATATGGCTGTATACAGACTATGAAGCTATTGGTGGCTGAATACTGGAGAAGTGACTTGACATTGGTTCTTAAATATGTATTATAGGTGTAAAATACTTTATTAATTGTGTTGTGCAGTGAACTGACAGACATTACTGGCTGGCCCTCCTCTTAGATGTCAGTGTAAACCTTTCAACATGCACAACACTCTTTAAAGAGGTCATAAATTTCTTTTTGAGCTGGAAGGTGATTCTAATAAATACACCAGGATATTATCTTTACCTTGTTTGCTGTGTCCTTGGTGTGGAGGGAAGAGTCCCTAGAACTGCTTTAGGAGAGAAGCCACATGTGCTAGGAGTGAACATTTCTAGTGCTGCCCCCCACTTCATGCAGTGTATTTACCTGAACTTGCCCCTGGAAATACTAGAGAGCCTCAAGTGAAGGAAGACACGGGGGCCTCAGCTGAACCTGAACCCGGTGGGGTGATACTGCTGCAGTGCCCTTGCTGTGTGGTCGTGGGGTTTGTGACTGAAAATCAGCCTGGCTTTGGTTTACAGCCACTCTGTGTTTAGGAACTTTACTGGAAAGAAGCACATGTTAGAAAGAAACAGCCGTTAGATGTGGGCACAGGAATAGATGACTGTTTTAAGCTGGGCTGTCAGCACGTGTCAGTCCCTGCATGGCAGTGATGTGCATGGCTTCTTCACCCTGTCAAGTGTGCAGGGGACGTTTGATTTTACATGCTGACATCCCTTCTGCCACTATTGCTACTCCCACTCCAGCCCAGCACTCCAGTTATGAGCGTTTTTAGACTCCAGCAACAGCTTTTTCCAAAGCTTGGCAGGTACAGAAGTTCACCAGACAGTGTCTTACATCTCAGAGTCAGCAACCCGACTACCTAAATGTATCATCATGCTTTGGAAAGGGCTGAATTGTTAAGGCTCGGGCCCCAAATCTCTTTCAGAGGCTCCTACTGCTCCTCTTCCCTTGGTGGTGAGCCTGTGCACGAGTGCTGGAGAGGTGCTGAGCTTGGTGAGGGACTGGCCTTGGTGGTGTTACTGTCCCACCTCTTGGTGGGTGTCTCAGGGGTCACCACTCAAATGCATCATCCAAGCTGATTCATCCATGACTTCTGAACGTGGTGTGGTCTGGGTGGGTCCAGCAGAATGCTTTTGGGGAGCTCTTGTGGTTCTTCCCAGTAGAAAGTCTCAGATTTTACATTATTCCCCCCTCATCTCTCATAGACACCTAAACCTGCATTGTTATTTCAAGAATTTTGATGATTTTGTCAATGAAGTAGCAAGCTTTTAAAGTACCAGAGTCCAATAAAGGCAATCATAAAATGCTCACACGGATTACTAGCTACCTGCATGCTGTGTGGGGTGGCTAGTTCTCAAACAGATAGCTTTGAAAATCTCAGGCAGGGGAGTTGCTGTGGCTTTCCTGGGTGAGAGGCTGGGACAGGTGGATGGGTGCCACCAGAAGGAAGAGAAACGTGAGAGCTCATTCATGAATTTTCTCATCTAGTTGTCGAAATCCATCGTGGGCATTTGATGAAGTTTCTGTTTAATTATCCTTGGTGACTGTAGTGGAATGCACAGCCCTGCTCCAGGGTGCTGTTGGACAATATCCACCTTCACTTGTCCTAAACGTGTCACGGATCGGTTGCGTTTTATTGATTCGGTTCATTGTGATCCCTCTCGTGAGGGCTGCCGAGTGGAACAGGAATGTTTGTGATGTGCTTTACCTGTTCTTACGTAGCCACTGTGATGCCCTGTTTTTATGTGGGACGTGGAAGCTTGTTGCCTGCTGAAGGAGGGGGAGCTGAGCTGAGTGTGTTTGGGTGGTTCCCTTGCAGGCGGCGGTTTGACCTGCAGAACCCCTCCCGCATGGACCGCAACGTGGAGATGTTCATGAACATCGAGAAGACACTAGTGCAGGCAAGCAGCTCCTCTACAGACTGTGTGTGCATCTGCTCAGGGCAAGGGATTCTCTACAGTTTGTGTACCTCAGTGGTGACCCACTGGAGAACTCCATCCTGCACCTCGCAGGGATATTACAGTCCTCCCTCCCTTGCCCACCCCTTTTAGTCACAATTCTGTGTTATTGCTTGAAAACTTCAGAGCCTGTTCACTGCTGCTCAGTGGATATGTACAGGCTGAGAAAGACCTGTCTGGAAGGTAGGAGCAGCATCCCAGGTTTCTCCATCTTTCTGTGAAAGAAGCTCCCTTAGGCTTCAGTAACTAGTTCTGTATGTACCTGTTCAATTGCTGACTGTCTTAAGACCTTCAGCTTGAGAAACTTGACTTGTTCCAGGTTAGGGTACAGTTTAGAGACTCTTGCTTGCTTCATCAAACAAGTCACTGCAAGAAGACAGCAGATAACAACTGTGGGGAGTCTTAATTTGAAAAAAAAATCACACATAGTTTAAAAAAAAAATAGTTTAAAACTATTAAACTATAGTTTAAAACTATTAGTGGTTTAAAACTTCAAACTCTAAACCCAGGCTCAGTGTCTAACGTAGTCAAGATGTAACTTTCAGGTGCTTGTTTAAAATGGAAATGGAAGAACAGCAAAAGGAAACAATACTATACTCTAAAAAACCTTTTGCCTTTGTATGGTGGTTTCAGTGCACAAGTACATGTTAAAATCCAAAACACAACAAAAGTATTCCTGCAAATCTGATAGGAATACCTGAAGCTGTGTGTCAGTGCCACAAGACACGTTCAGATTTGGAAGCTGATACATAGAGGACTTAAATTCCCTTTCAAGCAAAGTCTTCCAGAGCCTGTCAGAAATGCTCTGAAATCAAAGGTCCAGTTTCCACTGAAGGTGTTGTGAAGGCAGGAGGGTGAGAAGAGCTAGGCTGGGGCACGTCCCTTCCTCAGTGAGAACTCTCTGACAGAGCTGGCAGCAGATCTGCAGAGAGCAGAGACTGTGGGATGGGGCTTCTGGGGAGGTGTGGGGCAGGTACTGCTGTTGGGGGGGTTCTGGAGCTGGGACTTGGGTGCTGTAGCTCAGCCTGATGCGTGCTCCTTCTGAGCTTGTGCAGCCATTGAGTTTTTTTATCTGTGTCACAAGTAGCCTACTAATTTCTTATTTAACTTCCTCTTCTCTCCACTAGAACAACTGTCTGAGCAGACCAACCATCTACCTCATTCCAGATATAGAACTGAAGCTGGCTAATAAGTTGAAGGATATTGTCAAACGTCACCAGGTAACTTAGTGCATCTTAAAAGAAACATCTTCTCAGCTGAAGTGCTTTTGCCTGACTTGAACATACCAGTTCCCTCTGGATTGTGCCTGACAGCACAAGGCAGCAGCAGCAAGTCACTTAGACGAGAAGTTGACCATTTGTAAGATGTCATTAAGAATCACCACCCTGTTCTCTAGGTGAACCCCAAGTGGCTGCTGAGGTGAAAGGCAGTTCCTGTGTCTCGGTGAGCTGGCTGCAGGCCCTGGCTGATCTAGTGCTGAATACCTGCTTATATAAAGCAGAAGCTCACTGTCTAAATCTGAAACCAGAGAAGGTCATGTGTAATACAGCTGTTCTGGATACGTGGGGACAGCAGGAAGAAGCTTTAATCTTAAAATGATCCCTACCTTCTTGATTTGCCTTCTTGTTTCTTGCATGTGCAGAACAGACCACGAGCAGCAACGCTCTCTTGTGTGCTGGGTAGTCAGTGTGTTTCTGAGAGAGACAACATCTTGCCATGTAACTTAATACACCAAATGATGAAAAGATAAATAGCTTCATCTTTTAAAAATGTAAACACACTTTTCACTTGTCTTGGGAAAAAAATATCTTGGAATGTGCACTCGAGGTGGTCTGACAGCCTCTGTGTTATGATGGTTCTTGGCTGTAGCCAAAGTAAGCTGCTGCTTTTCCCAATTAAATGTATTTCCTGTGTTGTGATTATGAAGTGTCATCTCAACTTCAGTTGTGTGATTTTTCACAAGTTACTCTTCGTTATGCAGCTGATTCAGGATGCTTGCTGTTGCTTGAATTAGAGTTAGTAGTTCAATTTTCCTTTCAGAAGGGAGTTCCATGGTGAACTCCAGGCATGCTGCATCTGAGAGTGCTTTGAGGGACTTTGAGAGCAGCCAGCTTTGTGTTAAAGGAATGTGAAGAACTGAAAACAAAAATTGTTCCTAATTCTGAGGCTTTCTCCCTTTGCCCTACTTCTGAGTTCCTATCCTGGTTGTGTTGCTAGCTCTGACTGCTCACTGATTTGATTTTTAAATTTTATTTTAACCCATGGCTGTTGTTTTCCCTCTGCCCCATTCCTCATGCCTGTAGCTCCCTCCTCTCTGATGTTCCCGACTCTTTGCTGCTTGCCTGCAGCCTGGGTAGAACAGTTGCATTATCTCTGGGCCCAGCACAGTTCTGGTGTGATCTCTGGGCTTATCAAAGGAGGTATCAGGAAGGTGTTTGTTCTCTCTGCTGATGAAGGTGCTGTTACTTTCCCTCTGCCCCATTCCTCATGCCTGTAGCTCCCTCCTCTCTGATGTTCCCGACTCTTTGCTGCTTGCCTGCAGCCTGGGTAGAACAGTTGCATTATCTCTTGCCCCAGCACAGTTCTGCTGTGATCTCTGGGCTTATCAAAAGAGGTATGAGGAAAATGTTCTCTCTGCTGATGAAGATGCTGTTACTGTTGCTGGTAGTCACACTTTTTCTGACTTTCTTTATAAATGCTGAGGATTCTTCTGAGAAGAGCCAAAATAATAATTTAAGGACCTTGAAAGATGGGTAATGAGTGAGATTTAGCATTTATATCTTACCTGCTTTGAGAAGAGTGTTTTTTTTCAGTACAGAACTCTTCCATCCTGTTAGGTGTTAGCAGAGGCAGGGGATAAGCCTCACAACCTGCTGACATCATCTAGAAAGCTGTTTTGATGTAAAGTTGCCCATCCTTTGTTTTCCTTCTAGACAGCATCTAAGAGACTTGCTGTTGTTCTGCTGTGTGTTGGGTTTCTGAAAGCTCAGTAAGAAATAGGTGATACCATTCTGGTTCACCACATTCAGATAGGATATCTAGAGAAGTGTCTCTAGCTCATGGGGAGTGAAGGGAGAATTTCCACAGTTGTTCCTCAATGACTTTACAGGTCCATCATTCATGCCATGGCTCTTTCCTTTCCCTCTGAACCCTTTTAAATTCTTTCTGCTTTCCATCTTGCTTTTTTTGCTGTTGCTCAAGCACTTCCTTTCCCTTTACTCAGCTCTGCAAACCCTTGTTGGTGTAGGAACTCTTGCCTTTCAGCCCCCAACATCAGAGCACCCTCCCAGTATTGCTGCCATAATGCAATCCATCTTCAGGCTTTTTGAATTTTCCTTCTTTTCATGCTGTCTTCTAAATAAGTTGTTCACATGTTGTTGCTGTAACCTGCCCCATCTGCTCTTAAGCCCTTAAAATAAATCTGTGAAGTATTTATGGAATGTAAATTTTGAATAACATTTTCATACAAACTGTTCCAAAACACAGCTCCTCTGAGGAAAATCTGCAGACTGTGAACTTCTGCTGTCCTGGGAAATAACTTCATAGATGGAGAGTGGAGGTGTCCCTGCAGCACGTGGGAGAATCCTGATGGTTCTCCACGTGAGGGGAGGGCAGGGTTTTCTTTAGGCAGCATTATGTATTTAACAGAGTCCTAATCACAGAGAATTTTCTTGCCTGATGGTGCATGTCTAATGAGATTGTAATTATGGCCTCTACTCCTACAAAGAGAAGTTGGTTCATGTGCCATTGTGTGTGGCATGTACATAAGCCTGACAAGTACTTCTGTTGCTTCTCATGTGTCAGGAAAATGAAGTCCTAAACCAGGAAGAAGAAAGAGTATTCTCATGTTTGAATATTTGACAAGCAATGATACCATGTTAGTGGATTTCTGATTTATTCCCTCTGGTCTATGGGTTAGGAGGCTTTTTGAAAGAGGTGTTTATTCTGGCCCTTGACATGGAGCCTTTCTTGATACTGGGGATGTTTCATTCAGAGCAGCCATTTCTACTTAAGATTCTGCTAGACTTCTGTAAATTGGCATATTTAGAAATGGTTTGGGACCAAAGTGGGTACTTAGTGGAAAAAAGCTACAGGTGCTTTCTTACAAAATACTCACCAATAGGTTTGTATGAGCTGATAGGTGAACAGTTTGATGAAATCTGGGGGAGGAGGAAGGGTTTGAGATGGAGAGAAGAAGAGATGACAAAGTAGCTTGGCAGCAGTCTTAAAAGAATTGTCTTTTTCTGGCACTTCTTAGAGGTGGTATTTGTAGTTGAAGTTACCCTCAAATATTTGTAGGTTGTAGAGCTTGTGGGTAAAAAGCAGCTGAGAAGTTTGGGGTAATGTTCTGAAGGTTTCTCATGTAGCTTCTTTTCTTCCACCTTTCCCACAGGGAACAGTCACTGAAGAGAAATCAAAGGCTACCCACCACGTTTATCCAAGTCCTACCTCAACGGATGATGGTAAAGTTACCTTCCTGTTTTTAGGTGGAAAGAGTCTTGTAACTAAATTCTGTCAGGAGCCAGCGAGATGTGTGAAAGGCAGATAGATGCTAAAGTAAATGAGAGTTAAAAAGCTTTGCCATACTCTCATCTTTCCAGGTGGCAGGTTTGGAATGCTGATACCTGTGGCTTGGCAAGGTGGACACAGTAACAGATAGACCTGACAAATGGAGATTTTTGGCTTTATTGCAATGCAGTCAGGCTCTATATGAAGTGCATAGGTTCCACAAAAGCAATTTAACTGCTGTATCCTTCAGAAAACAGCAAAAAATAAAGCTCTTCATTTTAATACCTTAAATACATTTACTTCTCTAGCAGATCATTGCTGATTCTGAGCTTCACTGACATAAATTAGGCTTTTCTGATAGGCCCTGGCGTGTGGTGGCCACTAGATGGAAGTGTTCACTGCTCTGCAGGGCTGCTGGGGGCTTGTCTGTGTGCTGTGCCTCTGTAGTACCACACACAGCCACGGGTTTACTGGTCACTACCTCGGGTTCCTGGAAGAGTGTGAAGCCTGGCACGTCCCATCTGTCTGGTAGTCAAGGATCACAGAGATGTGCTGGGCAGAGCTCTCTTCACCTCTGATGGTCTGAGATGAGAAAACAGCCAGGAATTCAAGCAGTGTAATTTCATAGTCATTTGGGTTGGAAGAGATCTTTCAGATTGAAAACAAATTGTTCCTCACCTTGAACCTCAACCTCCCCTGGGGCAGCTTGAGCCCAGTTCCTCTTGTCCTGTCCCTTGTTCCTTGGGAGCAGAGCCCGACCCCCTCCTGTCCCCAGGCTCCTGTCAGGAGCTGTGCAGAGCCTTATTAGCCCTGCTGGGAGAAAAGGAAGTTGAAATCCATTGTTTTTAAGAGTCCTGGAAGTGTTTTTGAAAATCTGTTTCACCATCGTGCCCTGCCCTGTCATTCCCTCTTCAGAACTATAGTTTCTTTTAGAATACTTGTTGAGAGCAGAATTTAGTACAGCAAACAGGATCTTTTGGAATGAATGTAAATCAATAGAAGTTGTTCATTAGGGGATTGGGATGTCTAACAAGGATACAAAAGGACAGAGGGAAATACCACTTGACAAGAAAGCATTTAGGGCAAAGTTCATTCTGTTTATAGAGAGGTGAGAGAAGAGTGACAGACTGGGGGGAGGTGTCTCTGCTATTTCTGCTGTCTTTACTGAATGTCCTCTGGGAGGATTTGCTCTGTCCCATGCTGAGTTCCAGGCCCAGCTGGCCAGGACATGTGGGAGATGGGATGGGAGGAGATGAGCTGGCAGGGACTGGTGCTTCCATGGGGCAGCCAGACATTCTTCTTGCTTCTGCTGAGAAACAAATGGCTGTTTCAAGCCTCTTTGGATCTTAACCTGGGGGGTGTTAGGGTATGAATGTGTGCCACCAGGAAATGAAATGTTATAATTCTTAGCATTAAAATGACCTGATTAGTGTAATGTGTTGTATACAGGCAGAGCACACACCTCCATCCTGTTGGCCAGGTCTAAACCTGCAAGTGCATGGCTGTGCCCAGCCAGGCCACTCCAAGGGCACTGCCTTTATCAGAGGTGACTGATAACCTTACTGTGCCTGACTACAGAAAAGTAAAATACTGTGTGATGTGCTTCACAGTCTGAATCTGATGCTGGATCTCTCTCCCCTTTGCAGATGAATGGCTGAGACCTGTGATGAAAAAAGACAAGCAGGTGCTGGTACACTGGGGCTTTTTTCCAGACAGGTAAAGAAAGGTGGGGGAAGAAAGCAGCCCCCAAATCTTACTGAAGTTTGTTGAAGGAAAGTCTTGGTTAAAACTTGCAAGCAGGAAATTCCACGTCCTCAGACAAGCAGCTCTCTGAGCTTACTGAGTCTTCTCCTGAGGGCAATGCTGTGTGGTTCTCAGCCCTGAACCTGCATGGGGAATGTCCCAGCTGTGGGGGCTGCAGCATCTTCAGCAGAGTGACAGGCTCAGACGTGGCCTGTCTAAAAATTGAACCCAACTACACAGAACAGCTTTCCTGTTTTGGTTCTGGACGACTGTCCATCCCTGTTCATGCTGTGAGACAAGCAGTGGTTGCCTTCTGGAGTAGAACCATGGGGTAAGGGCGTGTTGCTGCCTTTTATCTCAATGGCCAAAGCTTGGACAGCCTTCATCTGGGGTTAGAACTGGGATGTGCATCCCTGTTGGGATCTGAGCAGGTGCTGAGGTTGGCAAAGGAGAGTCTGTTCTTCTGCAGAGCCACTGCAGAGGGTTGTGAATGGAACCAGGCTTCCAAAGGGCAGAGTGAGCTCTTCTGGAAAGCTAGTGAGAGTTCTAACCCCCTGGTTGAACTTTCCTCCACAAAGAGAGGGTTTACTCCCTGGGTTGCCTGCAGGCCTGTGCAGATGGTGGGGAAAGCCTGTGTTTGAGAGAGCTCTCATGTTCCTAGAGGATGCTGAGAGATGGTGGTTGTGCTGTTAGGAACCTCAGTGTATTTGTCATGGCTGCTTTCTGTGTCCAGGTTATGAAAAACTCAGAAGATGATAACCCAGCATTGGCTTCTATTCAAATAGTTTCTTTCAATGTCCTGAGTTCTGCTCTTCTGTGTGTGCACAGAATTCCCAGGAGCTGTGTGCTTAGTCTGGGGGAAGAGAGCAAACAACCACCACACTTAAGTGTCTCTCTTCATGCAGATAAAAAGCTTCTAAATATTTTTATATTTAGGAGTCAAGTGTGTGTTGACTGTGTGTGTGTTTATAAATACCAGTATCAGCAGGAGGAATGCTCTGTACACATCTGCTCTTGCCTGGGACTGCTCCCACTTGCTCAGAATGTGTCTGGTGTCAATTACAAAGTGTTCTGGCTTGTGCTGTTACCCAGTGCAGGTTCTCAGTGCTTAGAAACAGGCTCTTGAGGGGAGAGCATGTGGCCAAGGGAAAGTAAGTAAGGAGTGGGTTGTGCAGCAGTGGGGTTGAGGGAGGGGACCCCTACTCCTTCCTGCCAGGAATCCAGCAGCTCTTGCTGTAAACTCCTGAGGACAGAACTGAGCTAATGAATTGAATGCCAGGCTTTGAACAGGTGACTCAGGCTGCATCCAGACCCTGAATCTAGGGAGGAGATTTGCAGTTTTAAGCTGGAGCTGGCTTCACTGAGACAGCTTTTAAATGCAGTGAACTTTGGACCTCTCCCTTTTCAGTGTGTGCTATGTCTGTAGCAGAAACTAGTGATTATTCCTTTACCTTTCCATTGTGTGGGGAAGACTTTCTTATTCTGCCCCAGCAATATGATTTGCATGTCAGGATTGCTGAATAAATATATCTGTTGGTGATCTTCCTGGCAGAACAGCCCAGGGGACCAATTTGGTTTTCTTTTGCCTCCTCTCATTAGCTATGACACTTGGGTTCATGCCAATGAAATAGATGCTGAAATTGAGGATCCTCCAATTCCTGAAAAGCCATGGAAGGTAAGTCTCTCTCAATAAGCCTCCCCAAGGTGTTGTATTGGTGTTCAGGCTCAGATGTGACTCAGGAGATGTTTTAATGTGCCACTGCATAACAGTGACTGTGTTTCCATATATAGAGTGATATTTCTGGAGCTCTAATGACAATTTCTAAATTATTTCTTTGGTTTGGGGAGGAATGCTGTTGAAAAAGGACTTTATTTTGTGAGTGAAAAGGACAGATTTACACATCCCTTGTAGTGCCCAAATGACTGTGTTTATTTTGGGCTGACTTGAGGTGTTTTCTGTTAGAGGTAAGTGCTCTCCTCCCTGCTGAAGTGCAGCCATCTCCAGGATGAAACCTGACAGCTCATTAGAAGCATAATGGCATTATGCAACCTTTAAGGGGAGGAAGAGGGGGAAATATCAGATCTTCATGATGGTTTTGGAGGAATATTATTAGAGAAAAGAACTATCAGCTTAGAGACCTGAGATGACCACGCATGTATTACAAGGCTTAAAACATGCTTTGTGTGCAGAAAGCTCATCTCCTGTAATATAGAAATGGCAAAAAAAATATTATGAGTTAGAAAACATGGATATGAAGATTTTGTTGAATAGATGAGTACTCAGACTAACATCAACAGCCTTATTTAGCTTCCCTACATAATTACTTTGCTTTCTACAGAAATGATTTGCCTTTCTGATTTAGTTCATTGCAGGTGAACAATACAGAACAGTTATAATCAAACAGGAAATACTGATTTATTGTCCTTTCATTGCACTTACCCATTTATACATAACATGATGTTGTTTTGTCTATGTGCTGTTCCTCTGAAACGTGGAGTTAAGAGCAGCTGAGGTCTGGAAATAATGAGATGTCTGTTCAAGCTCTACTTATTCCAAGGAGTTACCTGTAAATAACTGGAACATGCACTTTGTGTGTGTAAATAGTAGTAAATTGAGTAAGATGCAATGGATTGTATAAATCATAGAGTCTATGATTCTAAATCATTTACTCAGTGATTCTAATTAATGCTTATCTAAAGGGTGAGGGGCAAGAGGCTGGGGCCAAACTCTGGTCAGTGGTGCCAGTGACAGGACAAGGGGCAAGGGGCCCAAACTGGAACCCAGGAGGTGCCACCTGAGCAGGAGGAGAAACTTGTTTGGAGTGAGTGTGCAGAGCCTGGAGCAGCTGCCCAGAGAGGCTGTGGAGTCTCCTGCTCTGGAGAGATCCCAAACCCTCCTGGCTGTGCCCCTGGGCACCCTGCTGGGGGTGAGCTGCTGGAGCAGGGGTGGGATGAGATGATCCCCAGAGGTCCCTTCCAGCCCCACCACGCTGGGATTCTGTAAAGCTCAATAACTTATTCTCAGCTATGTAAATGAGACCTTTATTTGAAGATGGATATTTTAAGTTAAGACAGTCCATCTTTTCTTTCCAGGATATGGCCAACTCGTCTTAATCTTTTTGGTCTTTTGTGGCCCATCTGCTAAGGTGATCTGTGTACTTAGATGATTTTGGTGGTAATTTTCAGCATCCAAAGTACACTCTTGTTACAGAGCCATTGTCCCACAGTCAGATTTTTTTGTCAATATGTTGTTGTGTATTTTAGGTTCATGCCAAGTGGATTTTGGACACAGATATATTCAATGAGTGGATGAATGAAGAGGATTACGAGGTAGATGAGAACAGGAAATCAGTGAGTTTTCGGCAGAGGATCTCCATGAAGAATGAAGAGGTAGGTGGCTCTCTGCTTAACAGGTCAAATTTTTGGGAGTCAAAGTTACTGAAGCTAAGCTAATGGAACAGTTTGAGGTGCCTATGATAACACAGCCATGTCAGAAGAAAATTAAACCAAGTCCTGAGTGTTTGAATCTTGCTCTGTTTTATGTGTGTAGCCTTTGCAGCATCCAGGTGGTGGCTGTAGAAAATCTTGAGGGGTTTTCACATTGATAAAGGGGAGTATTCTGGAGGTGGATGTGGTGTATGTTGTGATACTGTTGCTTTTAGCTTCCCTGGGTAGGTTGTGTTGAGGCAGAGTGTAGCCACAGCATTCCAGTGGCTGTAGTTTCTGGGATGAGCTAACTCCTTCCCTTCCCTGCCAGCCTGTGCGCAGCCCGGAGCGGAGGGACAGGAAGGCAGCAGCAAGCACCAGGAAGAGAAAACATTCTCCTTCCCCACCCCCCACTCCTGTGGAGTCAAGAAAAAAGACAGGGAAGAAAGGGTGAGTGTCCAGCTCCTGGAATTTGAGGTGAAATTTCTTGAAGAAGCACTGATTGGGAGATTTGTCACCTTTCACTTTCTTGCCTGGAGGTTTTGTCTGCATAGCCAGATAAAGTCCACTTCTCACATGCAGCTTGAACAGAGCAGCATTTGTGCCCTACAGATCAGGGTTTTTCCCAGGCCTGGTTTGGTCTTTTAAGAAAATGCATGGAAGGCCAATATTATATCCAGATAAAAGCTTATTTACTGGGGTTTTTGAACTGATTATTCAGGTAGTTATTAGTCTGTTGGGCTCTAGTAAGACAGAACTGGAAATTTATCATAGAGCTGTTTAAGTTGGAAAAGACCTTTAAGCTCCTGGAGTGCAACCATCACCCCAGCACTGCCAGGTCCCCACTGCCCCGTGTCCCTCACCCCACATCTCCACAGCTTGGGAACCCCTCCAGGGGTGGGGACTCCACCACTGCCCTGGGCAGGCCTCCAGGGGAAGAAATTGTTCCTCAGGGCCAACCTCAACCTCCCCTGGGTCAACTTGACGCCCTTTCCTCTTGTCCTGTCCCTTGTCCCTTGGGAGCAGAGCCTGACCCCCCCCCTGGCTCCAGGCTCCTGTCAGGAGCTGTGCAGAGCCAGAAGGTCTCCCCTGAACCATCATCTGCCCTTAGTGGAACTTTTGAAAAGGACAACTGTAAGTGAATTGCTGCTCCCTTGAATCTCTGAGTGCTGCCAACATGCTGGAGACATTTTGGGGTGGATTCAAGAGTGATGTGCAGTGGAGGTCTCCAGTCTTGAAACAGTAGAAAAGACTTAAAACTTGCTTTGTTGTACTAGTATGCAGAGGATGTTTTCCATTAGCTCCCCCAGCACCACTCCCTACCCCCCTCATGTTCTCAGGAGAGTTTTAACTCAGTCCTTTAATCCCTGTATCTGAAGAACAATGTCAGGGTGAGAACATCTGTGGCTTCAGCTGGCAGAGAATTTGTGTGTGATCTGTTTTAGACAAGCAGCCTTATATGGGAAAAGGAGAGGGCAGAAAGAAGAGGATGAGCAAGAAGATCTTACAAAGGACATGGAGGATCCCACCCCAGTACCTAATATAGAAGAAGTGGTACTTCCCAAAAATGGTAAAATATGCACAGACTGCATTCTTTCAGTGTTGAAACAATTGCTTCAATTGCACTGAAAAAATCTGTGTATTTTGTCAAACCTTTGCAGTACTTGGTGTCCATGGGGATCTGTGCCCATCTAAGTTCCTCTAGTCAGGAATTTGAATGTGACAGCTATGGAAGGGCAGCAGATTCACCTTCTTTTGACTTTTTGAAATACATTTACAAAAATCTACTTCAGTGTTTGGTTTCACCTGTTGCAGGATTGCTGTCACCCATTACACAGTTCACATTTTGGGGGGTGGGGTTCTCTGGAGGGAAATAATTGTGTGCTAAGATAAGCCTGCTAAATGAGTGGAAGCTCCAGCAACGTGCCAAGTGCTTTCAGTTCTTAATCCTTTGCAGAGGAGTGTTGATCTGTGCAATACCTGTAAAGTAAAGATAAGTCAGAGAAATAATTCCTTCTGTCAGGTCCTTGGCCCCACATCCTCCCGGGTGCCTCACGATTTGGTTTCTGCCTGGTGTGGACTTGCACCTAGGAACTGTTCCGTGTTGTACAGGTGGGAGCAGTGTGGGGCTGGGTCTGCTAACTGCAGGAATAGAAGCTGCTTTGTGTTCAGATGTGGGATTACAGGGAAATCAAACAAATGCTCCCTTGTACTCCACCCGCACAGATGAACTCTTCTGAACTGCAAAGACACAACCAACAAAACTGGGTATTGATAAGACAGTAGAAGCATGCTGGACTTTGGTAATTGTATCTTGGCCAGTGGTTACTCATCAGAGTTCCAATCTTGCTTACTTTTGTAGTGAACCCAAAGAAGGACAGTGAGAACACGCCTGTGAAAGGAGGAACAGTGGCAGACCTTGGTAAAAGAAACACCCAGCCCCCTCCAGCAGCCCCTTCCCTACAGGCTACAGTCTTGCAAGCCAATGGAATGCATGTTTTTAAATCTTAATTTTTAAGTGGAATCTCTAATTCAGGCTTGTACTGAAGTCTGTATTTTATGTATTCAACTTGAAACGTATTGACTCTTTTCACTGGAAAGGCTCTTCCCATGTAGGCATCCTTTTTTAGATTATCTTGCTAAGATATGTAGGTTCTTTCTGGTAGAATTTTCCTGTTGTTAGTGGGAATCAAGATGAATCACAGGTTCCCCAAGCTTTGGTGTAAGAGAGATAAAGTGGTGTCCCACAGCCTGTTACACAAGGATACATCTAGGGCTCTGGGAAAGGTGGTAATTAGATAAAGATTCCTAAATGTGGAAAAGTTCTAATTGTCCTTCCTCTGTATTCCTTTCTGTTCCCTTGTCTGGGAAGCTCACTGCCTGCAAAAGGGTGGGATTGCCTTAATGATGTGTGGTCTACTTTGCTTTCCTTCTCACTTCCCTCCCAAAACAAATAAAGGATTCATTCCAATTAAGCAGTTGCACTGCTAGAAAGGCTTGTGAGCAATCAGACTCCTCACATGAGTGTAATTCTCCATGCTTCTGCCTTTCAGATGAACAGGATGAGGAGACAGTGGCAACTGGAGGAAAGGTAACAGCAGCCATTTCTTACTAAATTGGATAGAAATGGGGTCACAGAATCGTGGCCTGGTTTGGGTGGGAAGGGACCTTTCAAGGTCATCCAGTCCAGCCCCTGCAGGGACAGGGACATCTGCAGCTAGAGCAGGGTGCTCAGAGCCCCCCCAACCTCCCCTGGGATGGTTCCAGGGATGGGGCAGCAACCACCTCTCTGGGCAGCCTGGGCCAGGGGCTCAGCACCCTCAGTGTCAGACATTTCTTCCTTATTATCTGGTCTGAATATGTCCTCTTCTGTAAAAACATCCCCCCTTGTCCTGTCAAGATTTTAATCTCATTTTCAGTAACTCTTAGCCTATAATATTTCTCAAGTGATCCAGAAGATCAAATTAGTTATGAATTTGTTCAGCTATTGTAAAAATTCTACAAGTGCTGTGAGATTATTTTGTATTTCCAAGTATTATAAATGAGAATGAGGAGACAGCTGCAAAATCTTTTCAAAGCAGCATATTTTCAGACACAAGACTTTTCAAAGGTTCTGCTTTTTCTCTGAGTTTCACAACTAAATTTAAACCCTGCATAGTCTTCCTGGCCATTATAACAGAGTTGCCAGTGTAGTTTGGGTTGCATTGTTGGTGTGCCAGGCACTATTTTTAACAGCTTATCTGGAGCAAGGGGTTTGGACGAGGTGATCTCCAGAGGTCCCTTCCAACCCCACCACGCTGGGGTTCTGTGAGTGGCCTGGCACTGGAGGACTCTGCAGCATTAGTATTTGTTCCATGTTAGATTGGAGGAGCTTTGCCTTTTACACTGGGGTTCTGTGAGTGGCCTGGCACTGGAAGACTCTGCAGCAACATTAGTATTTGTTCCATGTTAGGTTGGAGGAGCTTTGCTGGGGTTCTGTGAGTGGCCTGGCACTGGAGGACTCTGCAGCATTAGTATTTGTTCCATGTTAGATTGGAGGAGCTTTGCCTTTTATGTCCTGCACTACACAGTGGGTTTGGGGGGTCATGGTCTGTTACTCTTTTGTGAATGCATGTTGAGAGGAGAAGGGTGTTGGATGTTGAAGGAATGATGACAGGAAGGACTTTTCTGAATGGCTGTTGTCAGATCACTAAATATATTTAGAATGATACCTTGTAGTCTTTTGGGGAAATTTAGTCCAGAAAAAGATATATCATTGATACCAGTGACTCACAGACCTTGCTTTAGGGACAGTTATTTTTAACAGGCTGTTCTGTTTCTCTGAAATGAGTCTGGGTTAGTAACTCAGGTGAAGAAAACCCTTTAATGGTGAGCTGCCTGCAGGCTCTCCACATGGCACCAGGGGGTTTCTTGTGCCATTTGTACCATGTCCTGACCCACTTACACTACCTCTGTGCCCTTCCCTTCATCATTGTGGATCACAAACTGGATGTGTACTGGAACTGGGGTTGCAGAATACCTCATGCTCACAAGAGGCTTCTGTTGTGAAGCGACAGAGAATGACCAAAGACTTCTCCTCTCCTTGGGAACCTTATAAAACCTTGCTCACTGGTGTCCTGACAGCCCTGTGTGAGCAAACTCACAGGTCTGCTCACCCTCTGAGTGGAAGCAGATGCAGGGACACGTGGAGTTACAAGTGGAACTTAATGTCTCTACTCCCCAAGAGAGAGAGATCCAAGACCAGCTGTAAGATTGATCAGAGGGAGTTTATCCAGGCAAGAATTTAGTGTCGTGGGACAGTTTGGCAAACATGAAGCTATCACTGCTGACAAGTGTCCCCTGGTGAAACTGAAAGTGATGAATCTGATGTCCTTTAATGCTCTTCTGAGGAGTGAGAAGGTTAATGGGGGAAGAGTGGCATAAAGCACAGCCCCCCTTGGGGGGTATCAGAAACCTGCCCAGTGGCAGTAGCTGCAGAGGGCAGAGACTGAGTCAGGAGAAGTTTAATCTGCACAGATTGGAAAGGGCTCATTTTGGACCCACGTGGTGCAGACTGAGAGTTGTCAGGTGTGTTTCTAACAACCAGCTAACCACGGGGTTCCCTCTGTGACACAGGAGGATGAAGATCCCAACAAAGGTGATCAGAGTCGCTCCATCGATCCAGGGGAAGATAATGTCACAGAACAAACCAACCACATCATTATCCCAAGCTATGCATCGTGGTTTGACTACAACTGGTAAGGAAGTGATTGGGAACTGGGGGGAGACTTGGAGTTTTGGTGGGTTTCTCATAAATCAAGTTGAGTGATGGAGGTAACTTTGGTTTAGGTCTAGTTCCCATACACGGGTAAATCTTTTCCCTTTAAAAATCTTTCTGAGCTGACTTCTGGCAGTTTTCAGGGCTGGGGAAAGAGGAAGGGAATTTCCAACAGCACAGATCTTCACTCTTGCCTTCTCAGCAGTTTTTGCTTTGCTTTTTCTTTCTTTTTCCCTTCCATGGCAGAATAATTCCTTACTCTTCCCAGCTTCTCTTGTCCTTGTGTGATCTTTCTATGTTTATATCTATTTCTGAAAGCTGGTGGCTTTTAATTTTGCTTCAAATCTTGCCTTTGAGGACAAGTCACTGGTTATACCAGGAGGATGCTTCCTTCATTCTGGAATACTCCCTGGAGCCAGAGGTTTGTGGTGTGCTGTGACCATACAACTCCCTATAGTAACCCCATATTCTCTGTATACTCAGACTTTTATGGTCTGGAAAGAGAAATGATTGGGAATTAAAGGCCCTCTGCAAGTCCAACTCTTTAAGTAGTACTTTTTAAAAAGAAAAATTGCTTTGGAAGCAGACTGAGGAAGAGTCAGTTGTCTGGAAGGGCTGTCATTTGTTGTCTGTCAGGTGCTTCATGGGTAAAAACCAACCAACCACTGTCTGCAGCCCCCCAAATTACAAATACTTCCTCAGTGTCTCTGTTCACAAGTAATGTAAAGCAAGCTGAAGAAAATTCTGATCTACTTCTCAGTGTTTTCTGGACTGCTGGGTTAGAGTAGTCCTTGCTAATATTAATTTTCTAGTAAAAAGATAAATTTTATTTAATGCTCAGTTCAGTTTCAGTGTAATCTCTTATGCTCTGGGAAATTTCATTGCTGAACTAGATAATTTGTGACTAAAATCTGAGTGGTTTATTGATTAATCTTCACATTATTCTCCTATGAAAGTAAGTGATGGCAGCTTACAGGGACAGTGGCATGGTAGGTTAAAAGCTGAACGTATGGGAGGAAGGAAGATGTGTAAAGAATGTATTTTTCTGTGTTTCCTCTAAAAGTAACAATTCTTAAATGACCATTGTAGTTCTCCAGGTTTTGACTTGCATAAAGCATGTGCTGTTCTGCAAGTTTCTGTCTTAAGTTACTCAAAGGAGCCCACAATTTCTGGCACTTTTTTTTATAAAAGGGAAGCTTTATTGTTTCCTTACTTAGTAAAAGATGGGTTAAATCTTAGGTCCAGCAAAGAATTTGTGTGTTAAGGTGTTAGAAAAGAAAAATTATGTGATTAATCAGGTTCTATATACTCTGGTTTTTTACTTGTTATAATTCCACTTGGCAGTGAAGACCCTCCTACAGATCATGTCATGTGGATAACACAAAATGATGCTGTTCATCTGTTGCTGGTAGAACTCCACAGCTGCAGTCACCCTGTGATTAAAACTTTTAAGGACCAAATTTTCTCATTTATGTTGAAATAAATATCACTTCCTCCCATCCTTTATTTAGGAAACATGAGAATGTGATTTCCTAAGTTCCTGCAGTGCTATTGGTGTTGTCAGGCTGGTGGTAGCTGCAGAGTGGAAGATTCTAATGAAAGAATGTTTGAACTGAAATACTTCACCTGGAGCAGCTGTGGAAGGAAAAGAAATTCTCTGTCAAATGCCTGAAGCTGAATTTTCTGTGCTCTTTACCTTAGTTTTTGTGATACATAGCATCTCATGTGTCCTCAGTTCTGCTCTTCTACAGGTGGTTGATTTTTCCTCTGTATTTTTTCCTTAGAGTGCAGAAGGGAAGAGTTATTTTTCAGACAGTGTTTAGTTGCTTCACATAGCCATAATTAGGAGTTTATTTTCCCCAACTGACCAAGGAGGTACTTGCTGTGTTCCTGAAGCCAGTCTCCTACCTGACCTGGGAGCACTGATGACTGTAGATCCAGCTTCAGAGCTGGACTCAAAGCACCTACTTAGATCTTCTCAGTATGTTCCATTAAATCTTGGCTTCTTCAAGGTATTGGGTCTTTGCTGAATGTTCATACTAACTGGGCTGGAGAACAAAGAGGCTTCTGTTGGAAAGCCCAAGTCCTGGAGGCACAGCTGAAAAGGGGCTGCTCAGTGCTCTTCAGAGCTAGGGCAGCAGTGGGTGCAAGGCTTCCTTTGCTCAGGACTGAATTTTGAGATCCTTTTTTCTTGCACCTTTGCTTATGCAATCAAACGAGCAAATTTCAAAGGGTCCTAAATAAAATAACCCTTGCTAGAAATGTTCCCCCTCAAAATAGTAGTTTGAAGGTGTTCAGAGTCCTCCAAGGTTCAGTATTTGACATCTGAATTTTGGTTTTGTTACAGTATTCATGTGATTGAACGTCGTGCTCTTCCTGAATTCTTCAATGGAAAAAACAAATCCAAGACTCCAGAAATGTAAGTAAAATATGTGACTATAAGCCTCAGAGTGCAGCAAGATAAAAGAGCTTCCAGCTTGATGAATTCAGATGTGACCTGAAGTGATGGGGCCAGGCTCATCACTGAGGTTTGTGACAGGAGAAAAATAGATCAAACTGAAAACCAGTGAGTTCTATCCTTTTATAAATGAAATTTTAACTCAGAAGGTGAAGCACTGAGATGGGGCCCTGGAAAGCTGGGAATGTTCTTCCGTGGAGTCTTTCAGGCCTGGCTGGACAAAGCCCTAAGCAACCTGGTCAGAATTAAGTGCTGACCATGGTTTGTGTAGGAAATTGGCTTAGAGACCTCCTGAGGTCCCTGGCACCCTGGGTGATGGTCAGTCTGTAGTCTTTACTTGCAGCCTCTCTGCATGTCTGTGGCTGCATCATAGTGACTCCAAGGTGTGCTTGATCCAAAGTGTATTTCACACTAACTCTGTTCCCTCAGTTTTACTAGTCAGTGTAGTTTTGTTCTGAGGTTTCTAGGACTGCAAACAGATGGAATTGTGGAAGAATGCTTCTCTTCTGTATTTGCCATTGATGTGGCCATCACATGTCATCCTTCCTCCTTCAGTAGACATCAAAACATCAGGTCTCCTGATGCCTGTCTGTGAGCTGCTGCTGGTTATTGCTGATGAGTGAGCTCCTCCTAATCCTGATGTATTCCTACAGATGTATTTTTGTTGCCATTTAGTTACTGTAGGAGTAGCATGTGGTCTAGGCTTTGTGTTTTCTTTTTAAATAAAGTAGAAGCATCCTTCTGAATGGAGATGTCTTGCCTCCAGCTGAATTTTCAGGCCAAAGAAAATACTGTTTGAAAAGCTCACACAGGTTCATTCTTGTGACAGTAGTGCCTGGGGGGTTGTTTCTGTCTTGAAAGGGATTTTAACTAAATACTAGTTGACTTCTGTTTCTCTTTGTTGACAAGTTTTAGCTGATGGGTCATGTCATTGTCAAAAACCGACTCCCTTCAGGATAAACTTTAGGGGTGTTTCTGTCTAAGGCTTCTCTCTTCACCTAATAATGTGGCCTTAACTAATAAATACTGAATTAATTCTTGCAGCTGAGATCACTTAAAGTACCTGTTCTTGAGCAAGTGGGAATCCAGTTCTCCCCAGGAGCATTCCCAGATGTTCCTGAATGTTCCTCTGTGGAAGAAGCTCCCTTTCTGCCTACCCCACATTCAGCACAGAGGAGCCCAACACCTTGTCCCAGCGACTTTCACAGATGATTTGATCAGAATGAAGATGTGGGGTCTTGGCAGGGCTGTGTACTTGCAGCATCTGTCTGCTGATGCCTTGCCCTTGGAAGGCTTTGCTGTTCCATCTCTGCACCATTGATATTTTTGGTTACCAGCTGTTTTTGCACACTGCATATGAGACATCTCCATCTTGAATCTTCCAGAGGCAGAACTCTGCTTAGATCACTCTGGTTTGAGCACGTCTTGGTGCAGGGGACTCACATCTGTTTGGCACATTGGGGTTGTTCCCCCTATAGAGCAATAATTCTATGGTTGTTTATTTTGTTCTGAACAGTTTGTGTTAGGGAGCATTAGTACATTCCAGAAAATTCCTGAAAGTACTGAGGAAGTGTGTGAAGCAATGTCTGCAGTGTAGGAAACAGGCTGAAGACCTCATCTGGAGGATTGTCCAGCTCTGGAGTCCTCAGCACAGCAGAGCCAGGGAGCTGCTGGAGCGGGGCCAGAGGAGCCCCAGCAATGCCCCGAGGGGGGAACCCCTCTGCTGGGAGCCCAGCAGGAGAGAGTTGGGCTGGGGCAGCTGAGAGGAGAAGGCTCCAGCTGGGGAGACCCCCTTGGGGCCTTTCTGTGCTTAAAGGAGCCTTTCAGAAAGCTGGGGAGAGACTTTTGAGCAGGGCCTGTTGGGACAGGACAGGGAGGGATGGTTTGAAACTCAAAGAGTGAGATTTAGACTAGAGAGAAGGGAGAAATTTTGGACACTGGGGCTGGTGAGCCCCTGGCCCAGGCTGCCCAGAGAGGTGGTCACTGCCCCATCCCTGGCACCATCCCAGGGGAGGTTGGGGGGGCTCTGAGCACCCTGCTCTAGCTGCAGATGTCCCTGTCCCTGCAGGGGCTGGACTGGATGACCTTGAAAGGTCACTTCCAATCCAAAACCTCCCATGATTCTGTGAACCCCAAACGTTGCATACTTGAACTCTTGTGCACTGAACTATAAGAATCTCAAGGGGTCCCTCCTGCTTTAGCTGTTCCCAGCTCCCTGAGTGGGCAGAGCTGTGCTGGCTTCTGGGTTCTTGCCCTCTGCTTCTCAAAGATCTTGTCTCCATCTTGCTCTTCCCTCACCTTTCCTTACTGATGTTTTTATGCATTAAATAAACCCACCCATAAGAACAGCAGTGTTCTGTTCAGTGTACTCCTGGTTTTCTGCACAGTTATTTTCTTCTAGGTTCAGTATTTAGCCTGTTTCCAGGTGGACACCAGATCCAGTCAGTTTTTCTGCAGCTGGTGGTCTTGTTGGTTATTTGGTTAGTGGCCAGGCTACAGCTGTAGTCAGAGTGTGATTTGGAGTGGGGCAGGGATGCATTTTTGTTTCCACCACAGATGCAATGTCCACCTTTTAGAAACAGAAGCTATGACCACGTGGACATCCCTGAGCTTTGCCTGTGTCCCGTGTTTGCAGCAGAGCTGCAGCCAAGGCCCAGTGGAGCTGCTGCTCACTCTCCTCTCTGCATTACTAGTGCTGGAGGAGCTGTCTTGTCTTTTACCTGCTGACATGTGGTGCCAGACTGAATCCTGCTGCTTTTGGTTGCTATTTTCAAAGTAGTCAAGGTTGGAGTTGCTTAATCCTGTAGCTTTGTTTGCTCACAAATATTTGTTGCTTTGTAATTTTAAGCATGGCTTGATGTGCTCCTGATCCAAATGCAGAGGAAATCCAGAATGAAACAATCTGGAAGAGATGGGGCATGTTCAGTGTGTAGATATTTGTTATAAACCCTACTTACCTGCTACTTTTGATACCAATTCTTAAAGTCTTACTTCAGAACATGGTTTAGTGGTCACAGGAGTGTTGGGTTGATGGTTGAACTTGATCTTAGAGGTCTTTTCCAACCTTAATTATTCTGTTATTAAATTTCACTAATAAAAATTACCCGTTGCTCTTTGCTGGGCAGTTATAGAGGTGTTGGGAAAGGTGAATCCTAAGCCACACTCTAAGCTGTGTTAGCCATCAGTGTGCATGAGGAACGTGTCCATGTCCTGCAGATACCTGGCGTACCGCAACTTCATGATCGACACCTACCGCCTGAACCCTCAGGAGTACTTGACCAGCACTGCCTGCAGGAGGAATCTCACTGGGGACGTGTGTGCTGTCATGAGGTAAAGGCCACAGGTCTTGCAGCCACTGCCTGGGCTTTGACAGTGAGAGATTGGAGCTGTGTCAGAAGTGGGAGTGTTTTTTGCAGGACAGCCTAGGCGTGGGCAGTGGCCCCCGAGGTGCTGAGGGGCAGACAGCTCCCCCCTCTTCATGGTTACCACACTGTTTTATGCTGTTGTTTCTAGCCATGCCCATGGAGTTTCAATCTTAACTTGTGATCATTTAGGTTCTGCTGTTTAGTGTGAATGTGGAGGGTTTTTTTCAGCAATTCCAGTTCTGCATCTCAGTTTTGTCAGTTTTGTGTTTGCCAGAAGTATAGAACTTGCTGGATGTTGATTTGGTGAGGAGCTACAGATAGCTGAGGGAAGCAGATCAGTGGCTGTGCAGCCCTCAGGATCCAGACACTGTCTGCAAACGGTTCCATGCACGCAGCCCCAGCTTTGCTTTGCCTTCATCCTCAATTAAGGATAAATTAAATGAATTCCTGTTATCTGTAACCAAAACCATCATGTTTGGTTATGCAACGTGCTGAAGTGCACTCAAGTGTGCACAGACTCCTGCTGTGTGATTGGTATTGCTGTTTGGGAAGGAATATAGAAAATTCTAGATCTGTTTAAGCCTCCTCCTTTGCTGTCTCTGCAGCATCAAGCATAAGCAAGGCTTTAGTTCTTCAGAGCTTAATTTGTCACACTGTTCCACAGAGTTCATGCTTTCCTGGAGCAGTGGGGTCTCATCAACTACCAGGTGGATCCAGAAAGCCGTCCCATGGCCATGGGTCCTCCTCCTACTCCTCACTTCAACGTGCTGGCTGACACCCCCTCAGGGCTGATGCCTCTCCACATCCGCACTCCCCAGGTGAGCCCTGGGGTCACACCAGCCTGTGCCTGCCTGAGCTCTAGCCAGGGCCAGGTCACATGCCCACGGGGTAACTCGTGCACTATTTAATGGAACATTCCTTTCCTGAGGCTGCACCTCAAATCCTGGGGTCAGTTTTGGGGCCCTCACTCCCAAAAAGGATCTTGAGGGGCTGGAGTGCCCAGAGAAGGGCAATGAAGCTGGGGAGGGGTCTAGTGCCCCTCTCACCTCTCTCATAACACTTCTTTGCAGGTTCCTGCTGCTCAGCAGATGCTGAGCTTTCCTGAGAAAAACAAAGAGAAGCCCACTGATCTGCAGAACTTCGGCCTTCGCACGGACATTTACTCCAAGAAGACTTTAGCCAAGGCAAGTGGTGTGGCTGCAGATGTCCCTGCTCGCTGCAGGGGGGTTGGACTGAATGACCTTTAAAGGTCACTTCCAACCCAAACCATTCTATGACTCTATGAAGTATGTTGGGATTTTGGTTCCCCCTGTGCCTTCTATTCAGCTTTCTTCCTCAGGTGTCCTCCACGAGATGACATTGAGACAACTTATGCTGCTCTTATGTTCCTCTTCTAGATTTCTTCTGTCTCAGTGTAGGGTCCTAAGATGCATGGTTGTGCTGGAGGTTGGATTTTGTAGAAATAAAGACCTGTAGCTATCTCAAACTAGTCAATACTGTCAGTCTTCAAACCCTGAAGTCTTGTTATGTCATTGTGTATTTTACCTGATTGGCTCAGTTATAATAGAGGTACAAATACTCACCCAATTCACAGATCTTTCACTGGTTCTAGACTCTTGTTCTATTTACAAGCAAAGAACTGGAGCAGATTTGTTTGCAGAAGCTGATTTCCTTTTGTTTGGTGCATGGCAATTGCTTTTTTGGCTGTTCTTACCAGAGGACTGATCAGCTGCTGGATGACTCACTTTGGTGAACGTTCTCTTCGGGTTAATGATCTGTTTGAAATGCATCTTCAGATAGGATGGATTTACTTCTAAAATCCTTTTCCTTCTGCTGTGGTGTTGCACAGAGACATCAATCTAGATAATGTTCTTTCCTAAGCAGGTGACAAGCTGCTTTTCTCTTTATTTGACATGTAATGGATTAAGGTGTCTGTAATTAAGAAAGTTTACTAGAGGAAGTTAATTAGGGGAGGTTTTCACCACAAGTTTTGGAACTCTTAGAAAATCTCAGGAGTTAAGCCTGAGATACAGATTTGGGAGCAGCAGCCCATGGGGCCAGTGATTGCTGAACCTGCAGATTAACTTGCTTAATTACTGTGTCTGCAAAGATTTATCAGTTTCTTACCGAGTTACTGATGAACTTCTAGGTGGGCTTCTTTTTGGACCAGCATGAATCTTACACAGCCCAGCCTGGCTGCCTGGAAGCAGAGGTTTGGTGGGGGCTGAAGTTATGCTGACATGAACCCTGTTGGGTTGAGAGAGGTGCCCTTTAAGCTGGGAGAATCCCAGGAGTACCAGAACGAGTGGTACCAGCTCCTGGAGGGACTGCAGCCTCCTTCAGCTCTGGCTTGGGTGTGTTCCCTTGTGTCTCTTCCCTGCTGCTCTCCTCTGCTGCAAGCTGTGGTGTAAATTGCTCTGTTCTTGGCTTCATTTTCTTGGCCAAAGCCAAGCTGACCAGATTGCCATCAGCACTCCTGTGGGTTTTTGACATTTGGGAAGATCCTCTTTTCTGTTTGCTGTATATGCAAGCAAAATGAGTTGTGAGCCAGGAGAAAAGGCCAACAAATCAATTTGCTTTAGCTTGGAATCAAAGAGGAGCGGGAGGTTCTCCTAGATAGGTTGGGAAGGTGGGATCTGTAACCCTCAGATTCCCCAGAAACTCTGTGAGCCTCCTTGCCTGTGTGCCAGAGCTGTGTAAGTAAATGGTGTGATCTGACCCACGGTACGAGGTAGCCAGGGCTTGGTGAGCTGTGAGTAGGAAGGCTGTGAAAAGTTGGAGTGGATTAAATAAGATTCTTCCCCTTGTCTCCTTGAAGTTTTCTTTACAAAAGTTTTGTGCAAAGAAACCTGTATTTCACTTTGTTTTTCCTGTCTTTTGTAGAGTAAAGGTGCAAGTGCTGGAAGAGAATGGACAGAACAAGAGACACTGCTGCTATTAGAAGTAAGTTTGTGGAGGGTCTGGGGCTGGGAAACCAAAGAATGCACAACACTGTGTGCTTTAAAAATCCACATAGGGCTTAATAGTTTTTTTGAAGTGTACTCAGATGACAACTTCATGCTTTAACAGAAACAGAGCTTAAGAGTGGGAGCAACATCTTGAGAGGCAGCTGGTGTGGCTGGAGGAGGAGGGTGGTTGTCTGTGGACACAGGGCTGCCTTTCTCTCTGGTGTGGTTATGGCTTCTGAATTGCTTAAAGGTTACAGCTCTCCCTCCAAACAGTATCTCTTCATTTCACCATCACAGCTGTGAGAATGTTAGTGCTAAAAGGAGGTGGCAGGAACCTCTGTGGACTAGGGGAGCTTCATGTGCTTTAACGTTCTGTTCTACCTGACTTGTGTCTGCAAACCAGAAATTCAGTGTTTGAGAATGTTTGCATGAACTCAAGAACAGACCTCACACTGCAGAAAGCTCTTTCCTTTATCAGAAGTGACTAGTGGTATGAAATAAATGCCCTTTGAGTGTTGGTTTATCTGCCACTAAGGTGAATATCTTGAAATTCTGCTGAAGGTTCCTGGCTCTGCCATAGCATGGGAAAGGAAACTGCTAATTTTTGAGGTTAAAATAGTTAAGAAACAGATGAGTCTGCTTCCTGTCTCCTGCCACTAAGAAGGGAAGCTCTTTATTTGGTAGCTCTTTGATACTGTACATCTCCTCATTCCTTTTGCCACATAGCTGCACTTGATGTATTCTTTAAGCTTTTTCTGGAGGTCTACAAGCAATGCATATGAGATGATTCCAGTCACATTGGTACTGTAAAAACGAGGTCAGAGAACTGTTAACTCACTAGAATCCTCTTTGTCCCCAGATTGCTTAATCTGATGCTCTTGAACACGTGGTAATTGTCAGGTCTCTTGGAGTTCCAGTCTAGGGTGAAAACCATCACACAAGGTGCACTGTAGAAGGATGTTTGAGTCTCACACTCACATCAGGGCAGCATTGTTCTTGGTGGCCTGAAATAATTAATGTGCTGCCACTTCCTATAAAGAAATTCTCTACCAAGCTTTCTTCTACAGGAACATTTTTGTGATGAAGAGATGGGGTGGTTAGTTTGTTTTTTTCTTATGTAATTCAGAGTTCTAGTATAAGAATTCCAATTCAAGGGGCTTGTGTGTGTGTTTGTTTTTACTTGAAGAGAGAGTGTAAAACAGACAGCAATTACATGATTGGTCTTTTTTTCTCTTTCCATGTGTCAGTAAACCCATTGAAAAGTTATTTCATGAGGAAAGGCACGGACAATGGATCTTGACAGTGATGACAAATACTCAACTACTGTGTGTGGTTGCTTTTCTGAGCTGGCCAAAGTGCTGCTTAGCTGAAAACAGCTAAGATGTCTCTTGTGTACATTCTTATATGGAGAAACAAGACTAATATCTGTATCTGGTTTCTCTCCTTACTAGTATTATTTAGTAAAATTCATTATGTTTTGTATGTTTGTAGTTTAGGGTCATACACAGCCTAAGGAAATAATCTAGATGGCACATTCTTCACTTCAAAATAGGAACCAAAAACCCCCTAATGTCTTGAGATAGCAATTTTATTTAATGTGAGTTTAAATTAATAATGTTTTTGTTCTTCATTCGTTGTGGGTTTAACCTATGAATAAATCAGTAAAGAGGATATCAGTTCAAGCATAAGTAATTCAGCTGTAACGAGCCAGCTCAGCCCAATTAAATCCTCAGGGCAGCTTTGGGCAAATATATGCGGTGAAGTTCCAAAGAATAAATCTTATCTAAAATAATTATTGTCCTTCTGCCTGTTGACTGAATAAATTAGGGGCAGGAAATGCCACTTCCCTCCCAGAACCATCCTCCCTGCCACACTGCTGCTCTGCCTCTCCACGGAGCACTATTCTTGCCTAGTTAAGTGCATTTTTCAGCTATTTATAGTAAGGACAACTATTGTGAGAGCTCGTGTGTCTAGCAGGAGAATAACAAGCCTGAAGGAGGATGAGCAGAAAGTGCTGCCTGGCCAGGAAAAGCAGAGCTGGCCTCATCTGCTAGCGTGGTTGAGAATGGGTAGACAGTGACACAACTCACAGCACTGAGATGAAATTAGGGGGAGCAAAATGAAGATTGCATGTTGAATTGTTTCCCCATGGGTGTGACCTAGTGAACTCACTCATTCCTTTAAACACTTGGATCAGACAGAGGTCAGGAGAGTGGCTCATAAGCAGCATGGACCAGGCTGTCCAGTGAAGCCTGTCCTTGGTTCAGTCTCAGACCAAATTATTCTTTCCACTGAGCTTTCAAAACCTGTTGTGTTGTCTGGCCTGTGGCCTTCAACAGCTCCTGTGTTGCTCTTTCTGCTGGTGGAGTTCTGGTGGAGCACAGCATTGCCCTAGTCTGGAGCTCACTTGGCTAATCTTTGACCCAGTGTTTTGAGGGAAAGCTCCTGCAGAAGACCCTGCTCCCTCCATGGAGTGTATCTGAATGGATATATACTGAGTGGATGTATTTCTTCCCTGCTCCCCTCCCAATTTAAGCAGTGAGACCTAGCTGAGAGAAAGAAACTTGAAATTCACCCAGCTAAAGCTGAAATGACATCCAGGAGGCTGAAACTCCCCATCCACTGCAGGCAACTTGGTCTATTTTTCTCTAATTTGTTCAGTGCTTGTTGGATCTCTAACACTTCTGGATTTAACTCCTCTGTCCTTTTAGCCATTCTGCTCTCACATCTCTGGAAATGCTCCATGCTTGGCATTTTTCCCCAACATCCACAACCTTCAACATCTGTGCCATGCCCGAGGGTCCTGTTCAGGTAGACTACTTTGTCTTTGAAGAATTCTCATGGCTTTTTTTAGCTGTCACTTTACCTCCACAACTGCTGCAAGGAAAGAAGTTTGCTTGGAAACTCCTGGATTTAAAAAAAAAAAACCTAAATATTGTCATGTTGATGGAAAAATAATGGTTTGTGTGTAGTCCTGCAGGCGAGTGTCTTCTGAATGCACAACCTCCATACATATAGTAACTTCTTGTGTGGCCAAGTCCCTTCTCAGATGAGGGAACTCTGAATGCATGAGGCCTCTGGCTCTATCTTCTACTTGTCTCTAGTAACTCAGAGAAACCCCCAGCACATTAACTTTGCATACCTGTGTGTGCTCCTCAGACACGTTGGATGCATCCTCCTCATGGTGGCTGCCAGAGACAGTCCAGCCAAGCAGCCCAGCTGCTCTCCCTTCTGCCTTTCTCCTCTGAAGGGTTGTGCATGTGGAAGGTTAAGTCAGTCTTGTGTGTTACCCTGAAGGTTGAAACTCCTGGTGGTTCTCAGCCTTGTGGGAAAGATTTCAAGTCTTGAAAAGGCATTAACTTCACTTGTTGTTCACATTCATGCTTAAATGGACTAAGCTTAATGCTTGCTTGGGGACGCTCAGTTGTCATGAGGAGTTAGTTAAGGAGAAGGATGAGTTCTGTGTCTGCTGCAATGTATTATACCTGTGGACAGGTGCCTTAAGGCCCATGGCAGCCTGCCTGGTGGCCAGCAAGTCAGTAAGGCCTTGTAGAAGAACCATTGAGTGGTTTGGATTAGAAGGAACCTTTAAAGCTCATTGAATCCAACCCCCTGCAGGGAGCAGGGACATCTGCAGCTAGAGCAGGGTGCTCAGAGCCCCCCCAACCTCCCCTGGGATGGTGCCAGGGATGGGGCAGTGACCACCTCTCTGGGCAGCCTGGGCCAGGGGCTCACCACCCTCAGCATCAAGAATGTCTTCCTTCTCTAGTCTGAATCTCCCTCTTTTAGTTTCAAACCATTCTTCCCTTGTCCTGCCCCAACAAGCCCTGCTCAAAAGTCTCTCCCCAGCTTTCTGACAGGCTCCTTTAAGTCCTGGCAGGCCCCCAGCAGGTCTCCCTGGAGCTTTCTCTTCTCAGCCTGGCCTCACAGGAGAACTGTTGCAGCCCTTGGATCATTTTTGTGGCCCTAACTGGATTCTCCCAGCAGTCTGATAGAGCTTCACAGCCTGTCCTTCCCCCTCCCCAGCTGTGGCTGAAGCAGCTGCTCACTCCCTGGGACACAGCTTGGAGTTCCATTTACCTTCGTGTTTGTTGAAGGACAAGTACAGTGCAAATAGAAATCCAGTTTCTCTTCTCATTAAGCTTAGAAATGAGGATGGGATCTGCAGCTCACCCAGAAGGGTGTTTGCCACCCTCCCTCAGGCCTCTGGTATGAGCTACCTTCAGTCCCAGTGTTCTGTTAGGTCTGGGACTTGCAGATCTCATTTTTGGTTTTATGTTTAATATATTTTGCCTAGATCTCAAATGGTGTTTTACTGTTTCTTGGTGAGTGGATTATTAATTATCTCAGTAATGTAGAAGTTAATCATTCAGGATGCTTAAATATCTATTTTATGCTATCCAGATGCCTAAATACTAAAAGTTTTCAGGGGAAAAAAATACTTGTTGGGTCCAGAGAAGGGCAATGAAGCTG